TGGGAGGTTCTTAAAAGTACACTGAACTCTCATTTCTCCTTGTCCCTTTTACATATAAGGTTAGACAAATCCCCATGCAGTTACACACATTGTGTATCAGGTTAATGCAGCTCCTGACAGAAGCTGTAGGACACTTACACTCATGACAGTGCAGTATTTAAACCCTTTGCCTGAGTGAATGCATGTGGCAGAAAACTTAGAAAGGGCTGTGTATTTTACACAGTTTGAGGTTTCAACCTGAGCTATAATAAGTCTGTATTTATTATATTTATATTCAAATTTTTCAGCGCATTAGGCTGATCCCACTGAAACTTTTTGATCCCTCAGTAATTACAGCTTAAAATTATGTGTCCTGTTTGGGTTTCAGTATCAAAAATCAGCTTTTAAAGCTATTTTTCTCACACATGCGGGCTGTTTTCTGCTCAGATCATTGTTTCGCATTCATTAAGGACTACACAGCAATGTATGCAAGAAATATGATGTGCATGCACACCCATGCATGGGTTATAAAATATCATATCTCCCAGGCTAATTTACTTTGAAAATGTGTGTGAGGAATAACACAACAGGACACTTTATCCTACAGAATTAATCTCACCCCAGACCAAAGACTGCACATGCCCCGTTCAACCTCTGCCTGACCTCCACTCATTGCCAATAAAAGGAGCTCCTATACACAGAGGCACAGCTGAGGTGTGAGCTCACTGCTGTCTCCAACAGTGGCCAGTCTGTGTAAACTCTATAAATAGTGTGGAGCCCTGATCTACTTTGCAGGAGCTGCTACCTGGTACACGGATGAAAGCTGGATCAAAATAAAAACACACTGAACACACAAATCATGTGAAGAGCAACACTGGGGTCAGTCAGGAGGTCGTGAGTGGAGAAGTGCGACCTTCTTGGACCATGCAGTGGACATGTAAGATGGTGGGAACCCAGCAAAACCACACACCAACAGAAAGCAGAAAAGAAGCAGAATGGAAACACATTTTAATCATTACACTGCAATAGTTGTTGAAAGCTTGGAAGGATCTTCAGTAAATACATTTCTCTGTGCACTGCTGGGGCAGAAGCTCATGGACCCTACCCAGGCTTAAAAGCAGAGCAATGTCTTGCATGCAGTTCAATGCGCATAACAGCTGAAGGGATGCTCTTCTGAAGGAAACACAGGGATGGAGAAGAGTAAATGTTTGAAAGAGGCGGAGGGGAAAAAAAGACGTGGTTTATGAAACCACTATCAGCCCATTACAATGCAGCCCTGACACATTTACCAGTACAGATTAGTATCTACTCAACTTGGTGCACGTGACCCTAACCATTCACTTCATGGCTGGGAGGGTAAGTAACTCACTTGTAACTTTATAGACTGAGAAGTTAATAAGCTCACAAAAGCTTCGAAACTTGGGCGTGCCCAGCAGCCATCAAACCTCAACAGGTTTGTTGGATGAAAGGTGAAACGTCTCTAAGAAACCCAGCTGCTGTCATTTCTACTCTCAGAGATACCAAGAATATGTGCTTCATTCATGGGCGCTGGTCACTAAAATTGAAATGGATTCCTCTCAGAGTATTTCTAAACATATGAAATTAAAAAATGTTTTACGAAAACTTGCAACAATGTTAAACAGCAAACAGAAGAGAGGTATGGAGAACATTCATCCTCTTAAAATTTGTTAACACAAACAAGGCAGAATGGATTTTTACAGGGGGAAGAAGAAACAACATCAGGCAGAACAAAGATAAAAAGTTGGGAACAAAATAACTGATGAGGGTTTAAAATGCATTTTCTATGAAATTTCATGACGCTTGCCGGGTTCTTCCTTTGGAGGGATTTTGCTTGGAAAATAAATGTACACTAAAAACTATTTCTAATAATGGTAAGAGCTTAAATTCTCAATGATGGAGAAACTATAGGAAAAACAGACCAAAGTGCCTACATAAATTTTACAGAAGAGGTGTTTTAAAAATCTGTATTTAAAGGAGGGACATACTGACATTTATTTATTTATTCAGAATTTTAAGAATAACAGCTTTAAAGCAAATAACACAAATAACAAATAACACCTAAAGGTAATGAAACTGAGAAATATGACACAACAAGTACAATGTATAGAAGGGAATCGCCCGCAAAATCTATGGAAGATCTAGTTGAGACAAATAGACAGTTAAAATTGACCTTTAATGTGCCTTTTTTGATTTCTTTTTCTTTCTTCTCTAACAGCCTGTTGAATGCCAAAGCATCAAAATCTGAGTTAAGTCTGGACTCTTTGCTTGTTTGTTTGGATGTGGACTTGCTGCTGTGTTTCATTTCTTGCTGGATAACTTAAAGGCACTTGAGCTTCAGGGCATGAGCTGATGGCCGGACATTCTCCTTCAGGATTTTCTGATATAGCGCAGAATTCATGGTTCCATCAATTACAGCAGGCTATTGTACTTTCTACCACCACATTTTCTCTGTAAAGTAGGTTCAGCATGACATGTTTGACTATATTATTCAAAACTGTGTGATTATTGGTATGAATAAAAGCTTGAACATGTTAAAGTGGAAACTTCAATACATTTGTTCTTGGCAGTTCACAACAGTTAGTTCAAAGTTTTGTGAGGAAAAAAGCCCAAATTTCTTTTCTGCTTTCTCACAGAATAGATTGAGCTGTCAACTTAATTTACATTCACTACGTTGGACCCTAGAATAACCTGAGCCTGCATTATTCATCATGCTGAGCAGGTACACTGAAGGACATTGCCAAGAGTCCCTGCTAAAAAGCGTCAAAGAACCTGAATTGATGTTTCTTAGAAACGTTGACACCAGCAGCTCATCTGAAAACAGTGCTTTGGTATGGTGTATGAAGGACCTGCTTCATACACATCTTTGTGGTGTGAAGACACAAAACATAATAAGTAGCAAACAATGAAGCCTGCTTCTACAAAAGAAATGACTGTTTCATGTGATAAAGATGAATTTTAGTAACTCTTGAAAGTGGGGAAAGTGAGTAAATCTTTAACAGTGAAATTGTGCAATGAGCCTCTCAATTGGGTCAAAGTTGCTGCTGAAAACAGACACAACTCTGTTTTTCGCGGAGAAAAAACGCCATCTAGTGGACAAATGCAAAAAAGCGCTTTCAGCACTGAAAGAAGATCCATTCAAATCCATTAATCTTCTTTACTTCGAAAGCTTTTGCTGAATGACACCCTGCAAAGTGTGCATTATATTTCTTATTGTTATCATTATTAGTAGTATACTCCTTTAGATTTTTTAAGGCCACCACTACTTTTATTAATTCACTTATTCAGTTTTTCAAATAAAAAAAATAAAATAAAAATGTATTGCAACCTGAAACTGGCTTTTTCCTGTAGATTCAGCTAAAGAAATGGGAACTAACAGGAATGTGTTTTTGCAACAGGCCATCAGTATCAAAGCACTCAACGGTGCTATATGAAATAAGTTCTTTGCCAAGTTGGGTATTTTGTGTTGACAGAACACTGATTCATCCTTTAAGGCCTTTTTAGTGTGTGAATGATTCCTGGGTTAGTGCTAATTGGCTTAAACAAACAAACATTTCTCTGGAAATGTTCAGGTACCGATGATCAGGACTGGACTAAAAATAAGTGACAAAACAGCCCATGTCCAGAGAAAACCTCTGGAAGACCTTCAGAAAGACTGAAGAACTATTCAACAACAGCAGTTTAAACATTATAAAAAAGTCTGGCTGCTAATATAAAGAAACAAAATGTAAAGAAAAGAGTGGTGGATCAAAACTTTGTGTGGTGTCCTTGTGGCAGCAGAGATACATCAGTGATACATAACCATTGTTTGGTAACCTTTTCGCCACAGCTTCAAAAGATAAGATAAGATAAGATAAGATAACCTTTATTAGTCCCACACGTGGGAAATTTGTTTTGTCACAGCAGGAAGTGGACAGTGCAAAAGTTATGAGGCAAAAATTAGAATACAATAAGAATAAATACAGTACACAACTGTACAGAATAGAATAAAATACTATATACAGTAGAATAAAATAAAATAAATATACAATAAGATAAAAATAGAATACAAATACAAATACTATATACAACTGAGTAAAAATACAACGATGACAGAAAGGATTATTGCACTTAGTATTATTGCATATGTATGGATGTGTCCATTTTTCAGCCAATCACAGAGCAAGCCTTCCTGATCAGTCTGGTGTCACCAACTCCAGTGACACTCCCCAAGCAGATCACAAAAAAGTACACTCTGCTCACCAAAACAGACACTCTGTGATAGGCCCCCTGGGAGCACATGCCTTTTTGACTGATCTTGATAGGACTCATTTCATAGTATAACTACTAGCCCTACTACCATCTCGAATTCAAGGTCAAATTCCGTGCAATGAGGACATCAGAGACAGGCCACGGAGTTCCCAGCCTCCTCCTTATTGTTAAATCATGACCTCTGAGCTTAACTGAGGAAAGTGAGGACTGCAGTATCTTTAGATGTTTAGAGGTTCTTTTGTGACCTCCTGGATGAGTCGTTGATGTGTTCTTGGAGTAATTTTGGTAGGCCGCCTACTCCTTGGTAGGTTCACCACTGTTCCAAGTTTTCTCCACTTGTGAATAATGGCTCACTGGAGTCTCAAAGGCTTAAAAAGTATAACTCTTTCCAGAGCGACAGATGTCAGTGACTTTGTTTCTGTGGCAGTAGTCTTTAGATCATACCATAATGTGCTGCTTTTTGAGCTCTTCACTTTGTCAGACAGGTCCCATTAAAAAAAAACAACAACAACAAAAGCAAACAAACTGCATTTTGTATTTACTCAGGTCATCTTTATTTAATATTAAAATTGCAAAAAAACAAGAAAAACAAAAAAAAACCCAAAAAAAAAAAAAAAAAAAGCAAAAAAGAAAAGAAATCAAGAAGGGGGCAAATAATTTTTCACAACACTATAGAGGTGATTTAAATACTTATAGACAAAAGAAAATGAGATGCATACTGTAAAAGAAAAAACAAAATACAGGAAACCAGATCCATGATATAATCCTTTATTTTAACCCATGGGATTTCATTTTTACAGTGCATTTCTTTACAACAATAAATCATTAAGTGACAGGTTTTAGCCACCACTACGGATCAGATAACTATGTATGTTACATTTCTGAGCTCCTCAAAGATTTCAGCTTCATAAACACCGTGCAAAAGATTCCAAATATTAGACGATAACTACAAAGGTAACGAATCCAGCGATATCTGATTATCCACTGACATTGTTAGCCTCTTGTTATCAAACTCTCAGTTAATCTTTAGTCGTTTCAGTGTTATTAAGCAGCTAGCTATCTGTACCATTAAACATACAGAGAGGTGGCCGATTAGAAACCTGCTGCCATCCATAACAAAGAAATATCCTTTGAAAAGAAAAGAAAAAAAGAGAGAGAGAGACAAAACAAAATATGGCACCATTGTCTCAACAACCAGTAGACAAACATTTTTAAGGGGACTGTTGCCAAACTACCCTTAAAAACAAAAAACTAAGAGCTCTGTTCAGTCCTCAGCATGTGGAGGAGTCAGTCAGATGGACATAGAGCTTTATGTGGACACCAAGCCATTCGACTAGAGGAACATCAGCACAACCCTTCAGTCACATCTTCCAAGCACCTTCAAATGACTCATCTGAAGAAGACTTCACAGAAACCTGCTGCCTCCCACCCTCATTCTGTCCCCGCAAAACCACATCAGTGTGCGCCACACATCCCTCAGAGCGTTGCACCGCGACTATACCAGAGAAAAGCATAGATAAAACACACAACCACATCGACTGTGCACATACAGAACACACTGCAGCAAAGAACATGTACACGACCTACCAAATGCACGTTAACATAAACCCAGTCCAGTTATCCATCACATGTTACATTCAGGCTCCGAGAGGACAAAAAAAAACAACAACAGCAAAAAAGATGCAATGGCAAAGTAAACAGCAGATTTCTCCCTTTTGCTCAAGTTTGGTCACAAGTGCCCTCCATTACATGACAGCTAGTAGTGCACAAAATAAGAATACAAAATTAGACTTTTAAATACTGTAGCAGCATTTCTTTTCTTTTAAAGTTGAAAGCCTCCAGTAGTACAGGTACAGGCTTTGGAGTCCCCCGACACGTGGAAGGGTGAGCGATTGTCCTCTGAACTGCGAGACGGTGTCCGTCAGGAGGGTGCAGGTGTTTGGTACTAAAAGGTGTGTGGACAGGTTGGAGATGTGTCTCAGGCGGGGGCACCACTAGAGGACTGAGCCGTGTGGAGGCAGCAGGACGCTGCGGCGCTTAGGCCTAAAAATGTCTTTGACCAACCCCCTCCTCCACCTGCTAGCATGCCTTAGCAATCCCTTCTATTACAGTCTATACGTACATCTCCGTTTTTAAAGCCCAGCGTCCCAAAGAGTAACAACTGCTCCTCATTCCCGCCCCTGCAGCCAAACTACAGCTGATTGGCGGTAAAAACAGCGCACAGCTCATCAGTCCCATACGAGCAGGACAAAGCCGAGGCGACAATGCTTCAGAGGTTTCTCTCAGCTGGAGGCTGTAGCGATGGCCTTCTTAAGCTGCTGGCTACGGATCTCGCGGGTGCGGGACTCGAGGAGCAGGTCGTGGCAGGTGTTGCACACCAACACGGGGTCGTAAAGCTGCTGGTCTGGGATGGGAAGCTTCAGGTGACAACAGTCTTTACAGAACACATTACCACAGTTCCTGAAAATGGAGAACACATGTAACGTTATTAATAGGACAAATAATATTTGATGTGAAGGTTTCTAAGACATTTTAGATACCAAACGTATAAGATTTCAAAATAAAAGATCCTCAGGACCCAGAGAGGGCAAAAATGAAAAGGCTAAATGCAGATTATGGATTGATGAGCAGCACAAACAGCTTTCCGCTTCTTCCTGAAGCACATTTAAAGGTCTTTTCACACATGGCAACTTTACTGCATTCCATCCGTCTCTATTGCATTTGGGAACGGAAACACAAGTCATTGTTTACATACATTATAAATCAGCTGATTCTATTTATTACATGTTGGAAAACTTGCTGTGTTTAAGTTACATAAAAAATGGATCTAACAGTTGAACACATGCCCTGCTCAGAGTGCTGCTCTGCCTGTGAATATGAATTTTCCCCCCTGCCTAAAATGTCTCAGTGGAGCATATAATTAATTCCCCAGTGAGTCAAGAGCCTTTGATGCTGAAACCAAAGCTTGGAAAATGCACAGCAAATTGTCTTTTAAAGGCATGCTGCTGCTTTGGCAGAGTCACTGTGCAACTAAAGAGTGCAGAGAGAAACAGGCATACAAAATATACAAACACAGCCAGCTTTTAAAAGGAAACACTCAGATCTCTTAGGCAAGTGCTAATCGTGAATCAGCTTCACTTCAAATGCAAAAAAATATTAAGGCTTAAATGTTAAAAAGAATTTGCACAGCATTTGGAAAATGTACTTATTCTTTCTTGTTCAGAGTGAGACGATGAGACTAATCTTGTACTTGATGTTAACCAGCAGCTGGTCAGATTAGTTTAGCACAAAGACTGAAAACCGGCTGAACAGTTTGTCTGGTTTTATTCAAACAGCAACCAAATTTGCCTTCAAAACTGCGCCAGAATAAAAGGAATAGCTGAGCACATAATTGCCCAGTAACACAGCAACAAGATGCTTTCACACTGCTGACAGCTAGCAAAGCTAGCATTAGTTAACCTGAGCTAACAGGCTTATGGCTGAAGCTTCACATTTACTTTCTTAATCTGAGCAAATACGTAAACACAAATATTTCCACACTAATATTAATCTAGTCTAATCTTGGCATTTATCTATTTTTTCCTCCAAGTTTGAGCACTTGTTGGAAAAATTAACAACAAAAAAGAAACACAATGAAGTCTCTACCTGCAGTGGTGACGTCTCTTGGCTATCCAGAACTCACAGTCACAGTTGAAACAATGGGAGGCCATGTGGTCGGGCACCCACCTCGTAACCTACACACAGAGATAGGTATCAGAAAAGTGTGAGACATAGCTCTGCTCCTGGACATGCAAGTGAGAAGTGAGTGGGAACAAGAAAGGAAGCGTGAAGACAGAAGCTCTGTAGGACACTCACCTCAGTGTCCCTGGGCTCCACTCGATCCCAGCTGCCCTCGGACAGACGGTCCTCGCTGTGGGTAGACAGAGAATCTTCCTCATTGCTGTTGTCTGACTCACGCAGACATGTCTAAGGAGAGAACAGAATGAGATCAGAGGATGGATACAAATAAGAACTCTTCTGAAAATAATTGAGAGTAAATACTCTGAAGACAAAGAGAAATGCTTTTAGCTCTTTCAGTAAAGTCTGTGCTTAAAAAGTCACTCACAATGTCATCCTCGTACTCGACGTATGGCTCTGAGGGAGGGGTGCCATACTGTTGACTCTCAAGCCTCATCTGCAGCTGTCGCACCTGCTGTCGCAGCACCTCAACCTCCTGCTTGTAACCCGCCTCGATCTGACGCAATCTCTGCTGCACGGCATCCATCGGCACAGGCAGCCCATCGTCATCCAGGTAAGCCAGGGCCTGGGGAGGTGGTGGCGAGCTGGAAGCTGAGGGTGAGGAATAAGAGGCTGGCAGGAGCTGATGGGCTGCCAGTGAGTAGCTGGTGAGGGCAGCAGGCCCACACAGTCCAGTGTAGCCTGCACTCCTGGTAGGCCATCCAATCTGCAGCGCACTGCTCGGACAACAGAGCGCCTCCCTGCGGCAGCACTGCGAGCCATTGGCAATGGCAAAGCCCTGGGCGCGGAGGAATTTACTGGCAAGCCGGCGGCTCTGGTGGATGTTGGGGTGCTGGCCCCGGCTGGCACCAGAGGCAGACTGGACCAGACCCTGGACACTCTCCCAGTGGGAGCTGAGCAAGCACAGGTCCGAGAGCTGGCTCTGGGAGATCAGAGGGCGAGCAGTGACCTGGATGCAGTCTACAGGAGCTGCCGCTAACACGCGCTCTCTTCCACTCGCCCCATTTGTCCTCGTGTCCTCCTCCTCCTTCTGGGGTTGAGCTTGTGGCTGAAACTCAGGCTGCTCCTCATCATTCAAAGTATTCTGCGTAAATTCCTGGGTCACTGCGGAGGGCGAGTTGGGGGGATGATCATTCTCACCTGTAAGAGTCTCAGTGGAGTCCCCCATGGGAAGGAGTGGTGTTAGCTGCTTTACAGCCAGCAGGCTCTTTGACTGACTATCAATTTGTCCTTGAAATACAGAGGTTGGTGTGTTGGCTGCAGGTTGAGTGCTTTTGCAGGGCAGAGGTAAGCAGGGCTCTGATTTATGAGTGGGAGATGGTATACTCTCAGCAGTCCTACAAGGGCTCTCAGCCTCCATTGGAGCTTGTTGGAGTGGAGTATCTGTGATCTGATGCAAAGCTTGCATGAGGGCAGGAGTGGAAAAGGCAGTGTGAGCAAGTGTGACATCCTCACTGAGGGGGACAGGTGAGAGGGGCAGGGAAGGCAGGGGCTGCGTAGTGAAACAGGGTCCATCCACAGCCTCTTCAGCACCCACTACACCTGGGACAGCTTCTGGAGTCGGATGCACAGATTGTCCCTCTCCACTGTCCACCGCAGTGTCAGGTATGAGCTCGTTGGAGCCTTCTACAGCGGGTTCTTCCACAGCAGGTGAGGGCTCCAGTGCAGAGCGACCCTCCTGGCAGTGCTTGTTGAGATTGGGGTCGCTCGATGTTCGTGTCAGGGGCATCCCATTCTCAAAAGCTGACAGAAGGTCATCCATGGAGCGGGTCTTAGGAAGTCTGTAAATCACCAGTACATACAGATCTTATTTTTTAATGTGTATAAAATGCAGTAATACAGTTCTCCATTTTGAACTCTAGAGGGCAGTCTGACTGTTTGCCATAACATTACTAGTCAGACTGCGGCAATAGTATTGTTCAGACAAACAGACCTGTCCAGGGAACGGGAGGTAAGCTCATCTCCTGTGATGGAGGGCGGGAGGTAGAGATCCACAGAATCATCCACAGCAGTGCAGGGGGAGGAGGTGGGCAGGTAGACGGCTGTCCACAACTGTAGTGCCCGAGTATGGCAGACTGGCTGCAGCACCTGGCAGACAAATGCACCGGGAGGATAAGTACATAGTAATGGCGTCTAAGATCCAAACTCTTTGAACGTGCATCAGAGAGGATGGCAGGGAAAGTAGGATAGATTTAATCTTTAATCATACTGAAGTTCAAAATTGGAGTCACATTATCCATTAATCAAAACACTTATTGTGCTCACTGAGATCGTGACTGAAGATTATGATCATTACTATGATCAACTGTTTCCTTCAGCAAGTCCCCTCACTGAACACTTTCTGAAAAGCACAGTGGCTTTAAAAGGAAACACTCAGGAAGCAACTTCCAGCTGCAACTATACTAAACTACAGGGTGGGCCATTTATATGGATACACCGTAATAAAATGGGAATGGTTGGTGATATTAAAGTCCTGTTTGTGGCACATTAGTATATGTGAGGGGGCAAACTCCTCAAGATGGGTGGTGACCATGGTGGCCATTTAGAAGTCAGCCATCTTGGATACAACTTTTGTTTTTTCAATAGGAAGAGGACCATGTGACACATCAAACTTATTGGTAATGTCACAAGAAAAACAATGGTGTGCTTGGTTTCAACGTAACTTTATTCTTTCATGAGTTATTTACAAGTTTCTGACCACTTATAAAATGTGTTCCATGCGCTGCCCATTGTGTTGGATTGTCAATGCAACCCTCTTCTCCCACTCTTCACACACTGATAGCAACACCGCAGGAGAAATGCCAGCACAGGAATCCAGTATCCGTAGTTTCAGGTGCTGCACATCTCGTATCTTCACACCATGGACAATTGCCTTCAGATGACCCCAAAGATAAAAGTCTAAGGGGGTCAGATCGGGAGACCTTGGGGGCCATTCAACTGGCCCACGACGACCAATCCACTTTCCAGGAAACTGTTCATCTAAATGGCCACCATGGTCACCACCCATCTTGAGGAGTTTGCCCCCTCACATATACTAATGTGCCACAAATAGGACTTTAATATCACCAACCATTCCCATTTTATTACGGTGTATCCATATAAATGGCCCACCCTGTACAAAAGCTGTGAAAACCGGCAGGTACCATGTCATGAGAAGGGATGTAGAGGAAGTTCTGGAAGTTCTTGTTTGCTGTGCGAAGCAGAGACCACACAGAGCAGGTGCGTTTGTAGATATTCTTTGCCTCCCTTTCACGAGCGTTGTTGCACAGAAACGTGCCGTAAAGACACGAGTATGTGTGCTGCACCAACTTGACCTGGACATGTGAAGAAGATGCATCAAGTCAGGCCTTTAATTACAGCACTGATTAACTTTAACTCTCATTGTCGGTGTGTGTGAGACAGCTGACTGATGTGAAACATGACCATGTGACCCAAGACTTTATTCATTAGGCCAAATGTATGGTTTCATGTAATCCTGGCCACTTTTTGAAGTTTAAAGAACATGTAGAGATTAATGCGTAAGACAGACTAGTATAGAGTGCTGTCCAACCACCCACCAGGAAGGCCTCGTTGAACTCAAACAGGCAGGGGAACTGTTTGAGCAGCTGGTGAACACAATCCAGCCACTGCAGGAAGACGGGACACTGCTCGCTCACATCGTCTGAGTTCTCCTGGTGGCCACAGCGGTCCCCAAACTTATGACCAAAGTCCAGCCATTCCGTCTCTACAAGCACCTGGAAACCCTGTGGATAGCACAGAAGTCAGTACCAAAAGCAACAAGAGAATCCAGCAAAATAAGTGCTTACCATATCTATGAGAATATGCCTGCATGTCATTTAAAAATCATTTAAAAATCATTAGATTAATACTGAACTGTGCAGATGCTCACCTCTAATGTCCTGTAGTAGGGGTCCAGCAGGACCTTGGCGAGGGCTACAATCTGAGGCGTGCGGTCCCACCCGTCTGAGCAGTGTACCAGGACAGGACGACCGTCCCGCTCGACTGCTGAACATACCAGAGTGGCAGCCTTCAGCATGACCGACAGGTGCTGCAGCCAACGGGTGCTCTCCAGTGCTGAAAGCCAGCTGGAAACACGAGAGGGGGTTGATTAGGCAACAACTAACCTATATGGAATATGTCATAACTGAGGTAATCTGATACAGCAGGATACAGCATAGATTGGGTTATTTGGGTTAGCTATGACAGAGCAGGGAGGCACCTCTCTGGAGGCCTTTCTGCTTCACTTCACACATTCGATGTAAAATACACACAGCTGACGTATTGAAAACGCATGTAAACATGGGAACAAATGGACAGCCATAACACACATGTGCTGTTGGTTGACGTGTACAGACAGACAGCTGGCAAGCCCAGCAGGAACAGGACTGTGTTCCTGTGCCTGTGTGGTGTTGCCTTACTGTGTGGTGAACCCACTAAAACAGAGAAGGTGGAGGGAGGTGCAAATGAGGCCAGAGCCGCTCAGAGAGAAAGGTCACATAGATCAACTTACTTTCCTGGATCGGGGATCTGACTGCAGACAGCCCTGAGAGCCTGGAAACTGTTCCGGATAGCATGGATGTTGGCCATTCCCATGAACATGACCTCACAGCTGGGGTAGTACTCTGAATACAAACAAACAACAATTTGCTTTCAGTGCAACATTCATAGTCATCTAACAGTGACTGTGTGTAGTCACTGGTAGCAATAACATTGTCCATTTAGTCAAACTGGACTGCACTAAATGTGTTAGCAAGTCACTGTAGAGAGAGGGGATTGTTTCCAGAATGGAAAAACAGCACTTTGTTAAACAGATGTGTGATCAAAAACTACACGAAGAACATTTTAAACTTGCTCTGTAAAGGATGATTTCTATAAGACAGGTCTAACAACATGAGCACTGACAAGAATTAAAGTGTGTGCAAAAGCTACAAATCACAACCAATATCCTCTAAACTGCCATCATAGCAGAGCCTATCTGAAAGCCATTAGTTTTAAATATTCAAGCTGATCAAGGAAAAAGTTGAATTATGATATAATTACCCATATACTTGTCCAGCTGGCTTTAGTATTATTCAAATTGTTTCTGATTGTTACATAAGTAATTAAAAAATAATTAAGCTCCATAGAGCTGAGAGGAATTATAAAGTTGGATATTAAAATTATGTTAAGTCACCACAAGCAGGCAATTTTAGAGTACTGAGTAAAAACACTGTTTTACTTCTCACCGAGTTTCCTGTCTGCTTGACTCAGTAGAATCAGACGCCAAATGATACACACACACTCCAGATAAGGTTCACAGATGACAATGTTTCTAGTTTAATTTGACTTTTTGAAGATGGTGCAAAATGTTTCGGGATTATGCCAACCTTCACATTCGCAGCCTCCGCCCTTAGCTCGGTTAGCCACTGCAGCAGTGTATGAGCGAGCATCCAGAATCAGCAGCTTCTGTGTCACAGTGTTGTCATTGCAGCTGGAGCCGCCCGTCAGAGATGAGTCTGGGGAAAGAGAAGATTCTGATCATTATGAGCAGACAGTGTAATGCGAATCGACCTGCCAGGGAAAGGAAGAAAGAGAAAGTGTGAAAGGAGGAGGACGGTGTCAAGAAGGGAAGGGAACATGATTAAGAGAAACTGACTCTATTTGTAACCTACTGAAAATCAATATCTCCTCATGATGAACACCACTGTGTTACCTGGTAAGTCAAGAAGCCTCCTTCCCACAGCTTCTGCAGAGAAAGACGACTGGAACTGAAATACTTCTCTCTGCACCCTTCTCTAATTGTGTTAAAAGCTCTTTTATCACTTTCTGTAATTTGACATATCTGTGTGTTCCTTATAAGTTAATATGGAGGGGGGAAAAGGAAAGCAAAACCACTGAAAAAGATACAAAGAGTTGTTTTTCTGAACTGTGAAAGCTGTGCTGACAGCTGTCCTACTTTCTGTAACTCACAATAATTACAATGCAGCAACACTGATGCATGTACTTTCTGTTAAAAAGGAGAACATCAGCAATGGAAAAAAACAAAAACAAAACACATTCCCAGCCCTGTGAATGCTTGCAAAGCTCTGAAAACACCAGAGTCCCAGCTATTAGAGGCTGTTTACAACCTGGAAATTTAGTGATCTCCTCTCAAAGTTCAAAGTGCTGATTAAAAAGAAGCTAATTAAATTTATGGTGTGCACAATAAAAGCGATTCATGTTAATCAGCTACCTTTATACTTTAAATTGGTGATGATGTATTTATGTATTTGCAGGTATTATTGAAAATGCAGTTACATTACAATTTATTATGTGTTGGTTCTCTTGGAAGTAAAAGTTGATAATTAAACAACAGATAAATGCATCTCTTTCTCTCTGGTCAAAGTTTGTGAAAGAAGTCTAGAGTTAGAGAGTGTTTGGCCAGGTTTGCACAGCGTGATCTGCTGTTATGTGTCTGGATGACTGCAGAGAGAGAGAGTCTGTTTCAGACACTCACTACTGGAAGCACTCTGTTTGGTATAGGTGTGTGGGCTGCCTGAGTAGACTGCAATATGATGCGATCACTAGCTGTGACTTTAAGAAAACGAGTGAATTTAGACCCTGGATGGTTTAATTTGACAAACAGGGTCATCGTGTAATGCAGAGATGTGCAAATGGATGAGGAGTGCAAGTATGGACGTGCAAAGAAAATCAAACAGCAAGATTACCAAAATCACCATCGGAAGAGTCAGTAGCTTCCCCGCGTTGTCGATTTGTTTGTGCACCCTTGGTTCCGCTGTCCATCTGACAGGCCTTAGCGATGGACGTAACTAGATACTCATCATCTGTGTTCCTCCAGCCCCACCAGCTAATCTCAGGCTGGCTACAGCGGGCGATCACTGCCCCGTTCTTCTGGTGCCTGGAAACGAAGGTTACAGAGTTAATTAACCTAAAATGATGGATTTTCTTCAGCTTGCACCCATATAAGCTGGAGAAAACATGCACACAAAGTTACCTGTAGACCACCACTGGGATCCTCTTCCAGGATCTAAAAGAAGCCACACTCTCCAGCTCCTTGTCAGTGATCCAGATTGGAATCAGAAGCTTCTGTGGGTAGCTGGAGCACAGCCTACAGGATGAACAGGTAGTTAGAGGTTCTAAAGCATAGGTGTCAAACTCTGGCCCGCGGGCCACTTTTGGCCCGCAGCCAAATTACATTTGGCCCACGAAGCCATACCAAATTACTATTAGAGCTGGCTTACTGGTATTATACAGCTAATATATACCGGTATATATTGTTTAGTATTAAGCTTTGCTTGTTCCATATTCAGTTTTTCAGCAAAACTTGTTTGAGTCCATAAGAAAAGATTCATTCTTATATCTGGAGGAAGATTTTTTTTTCAATAAATATTAATGTTAGCCCGCGACTTTGTTCCAGTTTTGAATTTTGGCCCACTGTGTATTTGAGTTTGACACCCCTGTTCTAAAGGAAGTTTTAAAACAGTTTATAATGCTGCATTATCTTTTGATGAGGAAAACCAAGATGAAACTGGCTGCAAAAGGACATTCCCTAAAATGTTCTGGTTTTCAGGGTCACTGCAGCATCAATATCTCAGCTAGACCAGAAAACAAATCAGAAACCTCCATCTGTCTCTGCTTTCTCCTCTTTCTCTCCCAGGATACTTTCTTCAAATTATATTCACTTGCTCAGAGTCTAATAGCAGGAGGGAGAGAGACTGTGTGTGTGTGTGTGTGTGTGTGTGTGTGTGTGTGTGTATAAAATACAGTGCTGAGTCATGGGCCTCAGCAGGCTGTGACTTGTTTAATTAGCCAGTTGTCCTGTGTGTGTGTGTGTGTGTGTGTGTGTGTGTGTGTGTGTGTCTGTCTCAGTGGGGTGTGTTCTCCTGGGCCCTCCAAACAGACTGACCTTTTTTTTTGTAGCATTTATTTACCCAGACTGCAAAGGAGACCCCGATGTACAGGTGCACACACTCATACACCCATTCAGTCTATTGTTTCTACTTAGGTGACTGCCTTAATACAGTTTATCTTAGGCTGAACTACCCAACCTGGTAGCCTCAGCGCGCTGTTTGTTTCAATGACAGGGAAAATTGCAGCTTTAAAGACATCCTAGATTAGCCATTAGCTTGTCTTGTTTAAAGTGTACCTATTGGACATCCATTAATCAATTAAGACTTCTAGTCACAGTGGATGATTATGAAAACATCAAAGTCATATATCTAAAAGATGTGGAATTTGCTTCTAGGTGTTGCCTTTCACTTTGAGGTACCCTTTTCTTCCCTCCCATCCCTGGTGACACTCATTCTGAAAAACCTTGGATCTCATCAAAAAGTAACTAACTCTAAAATTCTGCCATTCACCGTCAACTATCCAATCATTACTCTTTATCATGACACCATTCTATACTACTAAAACTAGATGCAGTCATCAGGATATACCTGCTGTGCTTCTCATGGTTAAGCATCAGTGACATACTTGTAGTTGCAGTTGATATCAGACACTCTCCAGATGTTTTGAGTATCGAAGCCCATCCTCTTGACCTCCATTTCCATTCTCTGACGTACATGATCACCTACAAACACACATAGAACATGGTGCGAGGATATAAATGAAAAATGCCCTCTCAAACATTTACTTGTTCTAAAACTGTGAACGAATGTGTGTGAACCTGGGCGACAAAGATGAAGGTGCTGATCTTCATCGTCAGCGCTGCCTCCTAGACACCACGCGTGATAGGCCAGGGCGAACAGGTCCTCCAGCCGTGATGGGTGTGCTATGGCCCGGTTCAGACGTTTGACCCACTCCTGGCACTGCTTGAACGTTGCAAAGTGGCATCTGTGGAGATTAGAAAGATTAGTGAGATCCAACAAACCCTTCATGCACTGGGGACTAGGAGAAAAACAAAACAAAACAAATCAGCTGTTCTGTGATTTTCCAGCCTTTAAACCAGAGTAGTAATGTGGTTGCTTAATAATGTGGAACCAAAATGCTGCTGGGCACATCTGCTACCGAGTATGCGACAGTTCCACTGGTTTTAAACTGTTCATGAACACAAAGATGAGAATTTACCAACACCCTTTATTACCTTTGAAACCTTAGTTTCAAAAAAGTATTACCTACATATTATTTTACATTTCCTATCTAAGGTGGGTGAATGACAGTGCGTCACAAGTTGTAGTCATTGATGATTTTAGTCACAAGTACAGTTCTGCAAAAACACATAATTTGACTTTTTCTCCATGTCAAGTCCTTTTACATTATTGCTTAATTTGATCTCAAGTAAGTCAAACTGAACTCCAAATTCGGTCAGTCTGTTGTTATGTGTACAATTTACAATTGGTAATGTGTACAGTTTCCTAAATGAACCCATAGTATTACTAATTCAAATGTGTATCAGAGTACTGTGCTGTAAGAGAGTGTAAGAGTGAGGGCTCTTCTTACCTGACAACTTTAGAGTCTTTGCAAATGATGTGCAACTGGAACATATCTCTGCTCTCTACACTTTCTATCAGCCTGAGAGGCACCTGCAGAGGGAGACAGAGAGCACGTGCATTTAGCCTGATGGTCCACTGTGTGAGCAGACAGCACACTGGCAGAGAAATTACCACCCTCTGGTCTAGTACAGACTGTATCCAGGTTAGACACACTAAGTAAACCTTTAACCTGACTGCAGAGGAACAAAAGGCCACACTGGTGTTCCAACTTTGCCTCTAGAACTGTTATGATACCATGTGACAGCTACAAACCTGCCGTCCCTTATGCTTTTCAAGCAGGTAAGTGGTACTTTAGAGTACGATGTTAATGAACCCCCGACGAGGTTTAAAAAATCCCTTATGGACAAACCTTTGAGCATAAGGACTATGTATGCGCACTTTTTTACAAATAATGGCCAGTTTAATTCAAGAGAAAGAGTGCTGGCGACACAGTCATTTCACAAAATGATTAATCCATCTACCACTCTGCTGAATGTAAATTACAGTTTGGCCTCAGTGCATCCCAATCATGTAAAGTGAAGAGGAGCTTAATGACAGCTGTCTAGACTATGGCAGAGGGTGATGTTTTATCATATGGTACTCACAGATATGTCAATGTCCACACCTGGGTAGGTCTAAAACACAGTGACACCATGGAGCACAGACAAGGAGAGAAGGAGGGAGGGAAGAAATAAGACAGGAGGAAATGGAAAAAAACAAAACAACAAACTATTAAACCCAAAAAGGAGGCATTGGGAAATGAAGAGTTAAAAGGAAAGTAAACACCAAAGAGGCTGCGAGATGAAAAGACAACCGAGCACATCACGCTGTGCACTATTTGTAGCACATGGCCAAGTCAAATGGAAATCATGACGAGAAAGACAAACACAGGCGGGAGTAAAGGGCAAGAAAACAGCTTAAAAGTAAGAGGCTGTAAAGAGTTGTGAAGGGGAGGTGTGGGTGAAAGGTTGTTTGCTGGCATTCATACAGTTCATGTGTGCTTCTGGGGTCAAGGCAGGAGTCTGTCTAAGTAGGAAATCAGTTTGATAAGGACTGTTAGTCTGTGACATTTGAACTTTGTGTGGTAATCTCACTCTCCTCTGCTTAAAGTTAAGGTGAGGACGTGCCTCGGTGATTGGCCCTCGCCACCTCCTTCGTTTTTAAAACTGTCATCTTTTCCAGAAGCTGAATCCTTCTGGAAAAGATGACATGGATTTGGGAAGAAGGATTTTCATTGCCAGTGAATGCAAACAACCAGCCTATTTGTATTTGAGCAAGGCCTGACGTCAGCAGGAGCGAGCTGGTGGAGAGCACTGCCAGCCTGGATGTCACATTAAACCTTTGTGGTTTCAGGATTAGAGGGTCTAGTGCTCCTGTGATTTCACCTTGGTACAAACAACTACATGCCAAGTAAGCTAAAAGTGCTCAATGGGTACCCCATTGAAAGTTTATTTGCCTTGTTGCCACAGTTATTTCTTAATGAAAACTTATATGGGGGAAGGGAAAAAGTCTAATTGCATCCAAACTAAACATCCTTCCCTCTCCTCTGCTGGTGGCATAGGGCTCTGGCAGAAGTGACAGTTCCGTGATTCTTTGTTAGGTTTGTTGTCAGAGACATGCACTCACATTGATGACTGAGTCCTTGAACTTGATGTGAAGTCTGTAGTTAGAAATGGCAATGATGGCTTCATCAGCACGGCCAAGATATTCCACACCTTCCCCCTGAAGAACTGGGAACGGCACCTGCAAAGACCCAAAAACAATGGAACTGTTTAAGTCTCATGTGCATGAAACATTACACCAGCACGCATTTAACAGCTTTATTCAATCTACTGGAAGTCTAATCCTGACAGAACATATTATGTTAATGCTGCGTCCTCAGTTTTGGTGCAACTCATTCTAAATATTGATTGTGGGAATGTCATTTTTGGACAATGACAAATTAAATTTAACTTGGTCAAAAAAAGAAAAAAAGTAATCTCAGAGCAAAACAGCAAGATATGTGACATGATCTGTTAAGCTCCTTGTCATACTTTTAGAGGTACTTAAACTCAAATATCATATTGGCACGGCATTTCATTTTTATAAGCAATACCCAGCATAGCTGACAGCTTGTGATCATCCTGTCAGAGTAATATTGAAGATAAAAGAAAAAGAGGGACATGAGAAAAAGCGTGCATGTGTAGCTGTCCAATTAGGGCATATGAGTTTTACAGAAGAGCCTTTGTTAGCACAGAGGGGCTTGTTGGTAGGAGGGAGACTGTCTGCTCCGGTGTAGAGGGAGAGGGATCCCAAACTGTCCATTAACATTCCATGGCCATTTGATTAGTCGCAGCCAAGCCCTGGCTTCAGCCGCAACGAGACCCCTACATTAAGGTAATTGCTTCCCAACAGAGGTTAACAGAACATTTTTCATTTCATTCTGAGGCAGGGTATTATCTTAAAAGTCGACAGAGTGGAAGAGACACATGGTTGCACGTGCCAACTCCCAAAACATCTTTTCATTTATCTAAAACCGGAAGCTTTTAATCAGTTTCAGACCAGCTGCTCTTGTTGTTATTCTGTTTACTTTACTGCTTTTTCAATATAATTAAAAAAAGATGCACTGAAACAAAAGATCTTGAATAAATGGTGTTGACCAGGAGCACAAGTGTTAGATTATAAAATAACTTTGTGAAACACTCTCGGCTTTGTGATGAACTGGGGGACTGTGTTAGGCCCATTCCGTCTTGACTAAAACACACTTTTTTTCCTTAGTTGTCACTTGGATGCGATTGGCACGAGCACAGTTATTGTGCTATGGCTGCTTCAAACTAATGAAAAGTGCGACACCGGTCTTGTTGTTGAGTTGCTAAGTAGTGAGGAAAGTGTTGCTTAGAGACAACATTACCTCATTCTGTATTAGCATGCACTGCTGAGTCATGCTGAAGAGGACCCACTAGTGCATGTTAAAAAAAGACAACATGCAGCAGAGCAAATGCAAGGCTATAGCAGGCCCACTTGAAACAGCTAACACTGCTGAAAGAAGAGCTCCACAGCACAAAAAGCTAAATGTGACCGATATTCCCATCACTCCATCCAGTCCAACAGACTATTTACTCTCATGCCAAATTGCATAAAACTCTAAAATAAAGCAGGACTATTATGTAGAAATCCCATCGAGTGGTAAGAGGTCAAAAGATGTTGATGATGGCTGATCCATAAAAATGTTTGTTTGTTGTTTTTTTTTTAAAAAAAAAAGCCCTGCTATTTATCACTGCACCTGCTGCTCATCAATAACTGAAAACTTCCACATGAATCGAGACAGGAAGCATGACGAGGGGGAAAAAAAAGTGTAGCTTAAACTGGGAAATGGAGCACATAGTACTCTGCGCTCAGACATCAGCAGAGCCAAATATAGGCAGCAGCAGCCCCCTCCTTCTCGGCACAATAGAGCGGGACTTTGAAATATCTTTGGGATTAAAATATTTCAGTTTTTCAACTGTCCTCCTGTCCTTGAAAGTGACAGGAGGACAAATGGTGCTGACACCTAGGTTAAGCTTAAAAACCATGTAGCTACTGACTGAGGAAAAGGACCGAGGATACTGTTTTACAATATATAAAAGGAAAACGCCACAAAAGCAAAGGAAAGGTATATGATTTCATTAAATACTGGCTCAGTGGCAGTAGAAATAAACAAATTCAGGTAGAGAGTGTACACATTTATCTGCTGTGGAAAAGACTTGAAGTGTGTTGCTAGAAGTGCCATAGTTAACATGCTGTACAGACTGCAAGCTGCATTAAACAAGCTGTGCTCCAAAAGTAGGTGCATGAGTCACTGGCAGCAAGCAAGTGCAGCATAAGATACTGTGTCACGTTTCCTCTACGAAGCCTTCAGCAGCATAAATATGACGAGAGAGAGGGGGAGGGAGGGTGAGTAGAAAGCCCCATTTAAAGAGGCAAAAAAAGAAAACACTGACTTGTGAGTCGTGACTTCCGGTTTAAGCAGCCTGCCTGTTAGGACATGCACGTGAGCAAATGTACGCGCAACTGAAAGCATGCTCCATGACTTGCACGCACGCAGGAGGGAAGGCAGTAGGGTAATAAATACAGTGGGGTGGGGAAATGCCTGCAATTTGTCCGCAGTAAGAGACATCAGCTGTCAGTGAAACCATCATGGGAGAGCCTACACATGCACAAAAAGTCACACAAAAGCACAGATACAATGTGTGACTCCATGTGTGAATGCAAGGGGAAGGGAAGCAAGCGTAAGAGTGCAGAAACAGAAAGATTCTGCCATAAGAATTCAGCAGATTAAAAGACGCTCTCATAAACTTTGCTAGCAGACTACGATACAGCCATGCTTCCTTTGCACACTGCTCAGTTGGAAAAAATATACAAAATACCTTTGACACAAAGCCCTTTAAAGCATAGCACTTTAATAATAAAACATTTGAACAGGTTGATACTCCATGCAGTTCAAGTGGCTTCAATTGAAAGCCACAAAAAAGAAACAACAGATAGTGACCCCAGGCCCCTCCTCCCTCCATTTTTCCTTTGTCCAGTGCTCCAGACACATGATGCTAAGCTCCATTAACCAGCAGACAGCCACAGAGCGCCAGCTTAACACCAGAGGGTCAAGCGCAAGTTAGCCATCACAGTTCTGCTACTTGTATCCTCACTTGGAACAGACTTTGAAATCCTTCTCACTTAAACTGACCTAAATGTTTCTGAACCTTTTTATCCTCTGCAGCGGCTTCTAATATATTTATGTAAAACATTTTTGGAACAGCTTGGGGTAGTCTATTCTGCAGTATGGCTCACATATACAAACCTCTCAAGTAAAATTTCTACTGTATTTAGAAGTTGATCTTCAACAGGCCAACTACATATATGTATTTAGCCTTTTTATGTTAATAATATGAACATTTACATTTATATTCATAAAATAAATGCTTTAAAGTAGGTCAAGCACAAGTGCTCCTTTACAACCAATGCACTTAAAGAAAGGCCTCAGCCACAATTCAGTCCTTTCATATGTACGTGCAAAACAACTTCCTGCTCTCCTTATTAAAGCTTTGCATAAAAATATCCCTTTTCTTTACATGCTGGCTTAATTCAGAACCAGTTTTAAAAAAAAGTTTACTGAAGAGAATTTGTTTTCTTATTAGAACTCTATGATACTTTATCTGTAGAGAGTGTGGGCAATTGCTGCATTCAAATGGAAATACTTGTTATTCTAATAGCTAATTAATTTCGTCAGTGTTTAGCACAGGAAAAAGTTGAGCTACATGACAGTGAAAAAAACAAAAGCATTCCTCTGGGTCCCCATCACCATCACTTCTTCCATGTTTGACCTCAAGCCTGTCGAGTTGAGACTTGTGCAGTAATATCTCGGAAATCATGAGATGACCAGGCGTCAAGGTGAGGGTGTTTCAGAGGAACATTGATTTTATTAGCCACCAAGATTTAACATCACAACCTAGAAGTGCCACACAGTTGTTCCTGGTTTTCTAATATTAAGTCATGTTGCTGGGCGTGAGAGCAGATGGGACCGTGCTGTAGAAGTGGTTGTCACCTCACCTGAAGGCTTTCATCCTCCTTCACCAGCTCCTTCTGGGGGAACAAATCCTTGGCCTTGATGTACTCCAGACTGGGAGGCCCCTCTTCACCCTGTCAGACACAAACACAATCCAGCGATAGAAAGATAAATACTTCTGTCGTGATTCATGTGAGACTACATATGAGAAACTGAAGCAACACACAAAGTCCATATAGTTTGTTGATAGCAATACTGAAGCATGTGAAGAGACATGAAACAATCAATACAACCAAACCCAGAGTTAATATTCTCACTGCTTTTATCAGGTCCTTTGGCTCTGGTAGTTCATTGGTTCATACGTGCCAGGTAGAGTTTTGCAATCTCCTGCAGCCAGGTCAGACATCACATAGGAGATTAAAAATTTACTGCGAGGGCCCTAAAATTATACATTTGAAGAAGGAAAAGAAGTAGTACACAAGCTTGTGTTAGGTCAATGTGCCAAACCATTTAAAATGTTTATTACTTGCTTATGACTGACAGTTTTCCTGCCTGATGAATACTAATGCTGAAAAAGAAATGCAACTTTTGATGTTTGCAGTGTGTTTGCTTTGGCACTGCAGTGCAGGTGGTTACTGCAAGTGTAAAAGATACCCAGTGCTGCCTATCACAAACCAGTGCACTATGTGACTGGGTGTAGTGCAAACAAAGATACTGTGATTAACTTGAGGATTTTACCTTTTTAAAAAAAAAGGTTTTTCATGAGTCATGCTTCACTATAGTTTAAAAAGTTCCTTGGGGCATAAAAAAATACATACAGATAATAAATGTAACTATTTTGATTGCAAATATGATAGCAAATATTTCTCAGTTTCTTAGAAATTACAAACAAACAAAAAACAAAAAACAGCTGCATTCTTTTCAAGTTCACTTCTCTTCTAATAGATGGTCGGCTAAAATTAGACTGCAACACTTTAAGGAGTGGCGGAGATGAGAACGAGAGGAACAATGATGGCAGTCGAGTCTGTCCTTGAAGCTTAGGGCCCTGTGTCCAACTCGGGCTGAGCAAATATGTTCATCAGGTCATACTTCAATCACTGGACTTAAAGAGGTGAAAAGCAATCACATGATGAAACTGAAGGACATGCCCTTGGCTTTTATTCTCTTTAATCCCTATTCTAAAAACACCAATGTTTTGCAAATAATTTATTATAATCTTTTTTTTTTTTTAAACTTCATAATTCAAAAGTAAGCACATTAAGCAAATTAACATCTTCCCCAATATACCATTCTATACTCTATAGTGTATATAGTATGGTACATTAGTGCGGTACATGTCCAACAATTTTCTAGCTTTGTGCTATAACACGAATAAGTTCCAATCCTTCTCGTTCAGGTGCTGTGTCATTTCTGCCACTTTACGGCTCTGCTGGATTTTCACTTTTCCATTTGAGTACGACCCTGTGTCATTTTGGTTTTATAATAAAATCAGAAATAGAGGCCTAACTGGGTGGTTTATTTCTGTGAATCATATCCACTGAATCTTCTAGCATCCCACCAAGATAGCTATAGTATATTTAAAAAAAAAAAAAAAAAAAAAAAAATAAACCACACAACAGCAAAGTATCAGTTAGGTGAAATTATTCAATTTTAAAAAGCAAAATGAAAAAAGATCCCATGCATATTAACCCCCCCCCCCAAAAAAAAAAAATGGCATGAGGAGGTGTCGAGATCAATTACAGTATTGCGTTTGAAAATGTTGTTTAATTTTAAAATACGGATTCGAATACAAGACAGTAAGAACAAAGTGAAATTAACCTGAAAATGAAAAACCTTTAACACTGCATCCCAAGAGGAGGACATGCTGAAATTTCAGGAATTATATCAGAAACCAACTGATGTCTGACCACAGAGAACTCCTGCTGTGTTTACAGTGGTTACATCTGTAATCCGGAGGCTCAAACTGGTAATTAAACCACACGATAAGCATACCACCCATTGGGCTGGTAACAGATGGACATAGTGTCCCTACAGTGACAACCCCTCACCTACAAGTCACCAATCACCAACATTTTCCTAAAAGCATCACATCACAAGTAATAATGACAAATGAAAAGGCAGTATTTTTCAGCTTATGTGACATAGCTCCATCAGTAGGTAATAATTACAGTGAGCTAAAAACATACATCTGTGATAGCACAGGTGCTGTCATGGATGATGAAAACAGTTGGCACCCCAAGGTGGCTAAGCAGTGCAGGAGAGGATGGCTGGATGCAGCTCTAGATTTAGGTATTGCATGGACAAAACAGCACAGGTGTCAAATTCTTGGCAACTCTTGGAAGGGAGAATATCCAGCTACCAGGGCGTTCCCTCTCTCAAAAAGGGCCTTTTGAGGTAGGCACGGGGGTAGAAGTCTGACAATGGGAGAGAAAAGTGATAAATCCCAACTGAAAGTCATCTGTTACTTTATTATAGTATAATTTGCAATAAACAGTGGTGGTGATGATTGGCACAGAGGTGGGTGTCATGGTGAATGTGTCCATGTGAGGCATTTAAACCCCCTAATGAGTTGCTCCAGTGGTAAGTGCTATCTATTACTGCAGGCTCCGTTTCCTCCAAATGTTGCCTTTACGTTCACGGTAATGCTGCGTTTCCATCTTCATATAAATGCACACTCAAAATGAGGGGAGAGTGGTGGTTTTGTAATGCAACGATCAAGTAAAGTGTGCTGTGTGTGAGGAAGAGGAAAAAACTCCTGTTCAGTGATTATCATCTATATTTAGACCAGATAAATATGCTTTAATGAGTGCGTTGTTGTTTGTTAACAAACAGAAATCTGATAGAAAATGGGTTGAAACTCCTTTTAGTTTTCATGTAAATTCTAGCAAAGCCACCATGATGACACTCATTTGTTGTTCTCAGTAGCTCTGAATCGGTATCACAACTTGAATGTTAGCATGAATGTCTTGATGCATTCTCAATCATCCAGGAAAGTAAATCTCCAAATAGTTGATTCTGTTCATCTGGACGTAGCGTTTTGTGGGAGAAACGTTTCGTCACTCATCCGAGTGACTTCTTCAGTCTCAGCTGACTGCAGGTTTCCCCAATCTTATAAACAGTACATTTGCATAATGACTGAAACCAGCCCACTGAAGGAACAATGGGCTGGGAGGTCAGTTTCTTAATCTTAATTATGCAAATTCTCATGACCATTGATCAACAACCACTGACCAAAACCCACTGATCAATGACCATGAGTACCATTCACAGAGAGGTGGGGAATGGCTGCAATCACAGCAGTGTAAGATGGCGAAAGATGTACCCTTAGGCCCCCTCCTCGATTCAGAGATGGTCTTTCCCTTTTCATGTAAATGGCCTCCTTGACTCCGCGCTCAAACCAGCGTTCCTCCCTGTCCAAGATGTGTACATCCTCATCCTTGAAAGAGTGTCCACTGGCCTGTAGGTGTGAATAGACTGCAGAGTCCTGGCCTGACGAGGTAGCTCTTCTGTGTTGTGCCATCCGCTTCGCCAGAGGTTGTTTGGTTTCCCCGATGTATAAATCCTGGCAATCCTCCTGGCACTTAACAGCGTACACTATGTTACTCTGTTTGTGTCGGGGTACCCGATCCTTGGGGTGGACCAGTTTTTGGCGCAGCGTGTTTTGGGGTTTAAAAGCCACAGAGACCCGGTGTTTAGAAAAAATGCGTCTCAACTGCTCCGATACTCCTGACACATATGGGATCACTACAGGTTTTCGCTTGGGCAGCAGTTGTCCTTCCCTCTTGGATCGGCTGGAGCTTTCTTTAAGCGTCTTTCCAGCTTTGACAAAAGTCCAGCTGGGATAACCACATTTACTCAGGGCCTTCTTGATGTGCCGTTCTTCTGCCTCCCTGGCCGCTGTGTCAGTGGGGATGGTGTTTGCTCTGTGTTGTAGCGTCCTAATGACACCCAGTTTGTGCTCCAGTGGATGATGAGAGTCAAACCTTAAATACTGATCCGTATGTGTAGGTTTAAGGTGCAGATTAAGGAACTGACCTCCCAGCCCATTGTTCCTTCAGTGGGCTGGTTTCAGTCATTATGCAAATGTACTGTTTATAAGATTGGGGAAACCTGCAGTCAGCTGAGACTGAAGAAGTCACTTGGATGAGTGACGAAACGTTTCTCCCACAAAACGCTACGTCCAGATGAACAGAATCAACTTTTTGGAGAGTTAGCATAAATGTTTTCACTCCAGTTGACTGCATGTAATTAAGATTATATAGTATCACACGAATGGCGTTTTCCACCAAATCAAATGTTAAAATCCTCAGTTTAAAAACACCAACTTGTGGTGCCTCTCTAAGAAGAAACACATTCTGGAGGGGTCCTATCACAGGCTGATCGACCACCACATCAAATTACTTCAGCCACTAGTATTATAGTCCCTCTGAGAAATTCAATTACAATCAATTACTCTAAAGTTAACCAAAACCAACCTCCAAATCAGTTTTTCCTGTAAAAATGTGTCAATTTACATCATAATATCTTACAAAAAAAAAAAAAAAAAGCAAACACACTTGGACCACAGCCACACACTTTCATCTCCCATCAACAATCCATCTAATCTGGTTTGGTTTCCAAATACCCCAGGCAGCATTACCTGGTAGACTCTTGGCCACATTTATACTTTTCTCTTGCAGAGCTCTGACACAGCATTTCTCTGATTCCCACAAGTACACGATGTACTTTGTGTTGCCCTAGAAGCACAAGACACTACCCGATGAGCTAAAATCTATTGCTGTTATATTAACAGCAATAGATTTTAAAAAAAATACCACAGGAACAGACTCATTGAACTACATGGAAACATGGATATATGCACATTTCAGCTTCATAGATTCTTTGCACAAAGATGATGCTTAAAGACCTAGCTTTAAAAACCGTCATTACATTTGGACACTTTTTTGGAGGGAGTTTATTTTGTCCATATTGTGATTTTTGTTTCCACAAGCAGACAATCAGCTTACAGAAGATTAAAGGAAAACAGGGATGCTCTCACTTCTAAACAGCTCTCAAAGATGGAGCACAGCTTGTCCTGTGCCCGACACGTTTTTGCTTCGTCACTGCTGCGAGCCTGCGCACCCTCCCCCACCTTTGTCCAACCAGCTCAAAAAGCTGGAGCTGACAGGCATGCGCGCATACGCCTCCGTGCATTTACCAAATATAAATGTCAGAGTTGATAGCACATGAAACATCAAGATAACAATAATAACCAAAACAGTATCAGCTATGATATCAGCTACTGTAGCAGCCAACGAGACAGCCGTGGCAAGGCAGATTAGCAGCGTGCATGTGGAGGGAATAATGCACAGTTGCTTTTTCCAAGTTTTACTTCTCTGGGGAAAGCATGTGTGAAAATGGTCCTGCATGTATGCAAATGGAAACAGGACAGAATAGGTAGACAAAGTGAAAGAGACATTGGCACAGTGTTCATGAATAAATGTCTGGTTTCCATGGATACGACAGCCTCTTTTTAGAGGCCCTTTCACCCAAAAGCTTTTTCTAACAATTTGCTGTCCTTACTCACCAGATTATTTACTTAATCTGACTGGTGCTTTGTCCCAGAGTTTTTCAGATTAGAGAAGCACTACAGGATGCCGAGGTGACCTACTGAATATGTGGACAACACGCACTTACATCTCTGCTTTTAACTGTTCGGTCATTTGCCGTGTTGGACATGATAAATATATTAAACGATGATTCTAAATAAAAAAGCGAGGGGAAAAAGGACGAAAATGACTGCAGGCAGAGGGTGCATAGACAGGGCAGAATGAAAAACATTTTATATAAACATTAAAAATAACCAGGCCAAAGATATTTTTCTGAGTAGAGCTAGGGAGCAGATTCTAAGTAAAAAAGTCCAGATCAAAGATGACAGACTATGACAAATCTCTCTAAATACATTTCTTTCTCCTTGTCCTGTTGCCGCCTACATTAATGTTCAATCGATCACTGTGTTCTAAACAATCAATCCCATTTTTGTGTTATAACTGGGCAGTACTCCAAGTACTGAAAAAAATAAACTGGGCAGGGTTTTCTTTACGTGAATAGAATTCATCCAAAATGCACAAAGTTGGAGTAACACTTTGTAGCAAAGTAAGAACAAATCGATCAAGCGAACAGCGAGTACTGCATGAACCGATGGCCCTGACAGTCTAGGCGTCTGATGGCTCTGATGTCTTGCGAGGGACATGTTGGTGTTCTGGTTTAGACACACTTACAGGACAAGTCACTGCTAATCTATAAAAAGTCCTCCTGTGTGGACCATTAACATATTAAGTGATTTGTTTGTTGCACTTTACTTTGTGGTATTTGCCCTACTTATCAACCAGTGGTATCTGTCACTCAAACTGGTAGACAAGTCGACTGACTGCCTTCAAGTTGAAAATTTAACTTTCACATTTAACTGTCACTTTGCCTGTTGCCTCTTGAAGATGGTGCAGTTGATCGACATTCCACAGTCTCTTGTCACTATCTGTATGGACGCCCCTTAAACATTTCTATCCTCTTCCAGGAAGACAATGCCCATATCCACAGGACATGAGGCATCACTGAATGGTTTGACTTTCAAAACACCAAATGAGGAAAAGGGTTATGGTGGCAAAAGCCCTTACTGAGACACCTTTGTGTTAGTTTTCCCTTTAACTCTTTACCCCTTGAAAGTCTTCCAGGAGTAACCCTTGAAGGTCTGTTTTGAACTGAGTGGTTTCTGACATATTTCAGGCCTGTCTTTAAAACAGAATGACTGGGTGTCATTCTGTTTTATTTCTGGCATCAGAAATGAGTTGTTTTCCGCCTATGCAGCTACCCTAGGAAACGCCTGGAAAATATTCTAATGATCATCAAACCACGTCTTTATTCATACATACTGGAGTGTCAAAACTCATTATTTAGGGTACAGAGGTGGTTGTCTATATTGGTGAAACACGAAGCAATATAATAAACTGGCTGGCATTATCCCAAAAAAGGTTTGCATAAACGTTCACATAGGTTAGTACAGACTTTGGTTTGGTATGGCTATACTGAGACAACAAATACAAATTAAGTACCTTTCCTTTCAATAACTTGCTACACACTTTGCTTTTTTTCCCCAGTCCCTCATCTCTGTTGTGTTGTCTTCCTCGGGGGTCATAACACAAAGTCTGTTTACCGTTTATTTCCACCTTGGCATTAGGCAGAGAGTTAGCATTCAGCCTGATACAGCCTAAAGGCACATCCCCCAATAAGCTTTTGGCTATACTTACACTGCTGATTTATTTAACTAGTGGGAATAATAGAATCTGAGTCATGGAAAAATCTTATCCAATTCAATTATATATGTTTATAGTTCCATTTACTGCAGACAACATTGCACATTAGAATAGTAACTGAAGATGCCCCCGCAACTGTGGGATCACAACAATGGTGGCCATGATGAAAATGATGGAGCCTCCTTCCACAGGAGAAGACTGCTCTGATCCACTTAAGCAACAAAGGATGGGGATACTAAATTATACAGACACTGACGCAGGAGAAGTGCCGACTCAGCTGCGTCACAGACATATTGGAGAGAGATCATAAATTGCGGAACGCCTGGCTACATCTGTTCACAGAGAAAGGAGAGGGAGAAGGAGCAGCTGCACTCATCCTACCTGACAGCTTTTCAAACAAAGCTTTCTTTAAGAAAAACTGTGACAATATAATTTTCGCCAGTATTATTAAAATCTTTTTTGGAATCTGTATTGTATAAAGAAACAGAGGAATAGCTTGATAAATCTCTAGGTGAAATATATGTGATAATCCTGAAAGGATCTCAGCATGCCAGTCCTCTACTGTGGCTGAACCATCTGAAACACTATGGATCACTATGAAATACTAGTACAGACTTGGCATGTGTCCCAGAGGCTAGAAATGTCTCATTTTCATATTTCATAGTTCCCAAAACTTTCAAAAGGTTCACATTTGTAGTTTTTGAAGAAAAATATTTTGTTCAACTTGTCATTTCCATGAAAGTTTTTGAAATACATCTTTCCCTCTAGATGTGTTATATACCTGCAAAACTACTGATGCTTTCTTGGTGCTAAGTAACATTTTTTTATATTATATTATAAAACGTGGAAGGGCTAAAATTTCACTGATTCTTTTATCGACCACATACTCAAAGCGTGATAGCTGAAAGAATGCTAGCTTTATAATTTGCGAGTAATTAAGTTTCACCGAGTGGTGAAAATAAACACGTTCACCTATGAATTCACAAGATTAATGATTATTTTCACCACCTGTATTTCCTTTGCTGTTTTCTTTTAAATATCCTTTAAAAAAGTTTCATCACCTGTTCCTCTGATAATGTCTCTGGCCAAAGCAGCTGGCTCTTGATCTGCCAATTTTGTATGGGAAGAAAGTAAAATCCAAACACCCCCTTTTATGTGAGCATGAAACAGAAAGTCTGAGTTAACAAAGAAAGTTGATAACTACTGTCCTCATACTAGTGACAAAATAGCTAACACAAAGAAAGTCTGGCTATGGAAAGTCTGCTGGCTTCAAAGGTAAGTGTCATTTTTTAAACAATGTATATCTCAAATTACTGGCATTTGTGTATGAAGATGTTGTTTGTTTTTTTTTAAATTTACTAGGTATCTTACCAGACATTGTTTATATCAGCCTCAAAAAATGAACTTTAGGTGGCTACTAACATGGGACTCTTGGCAGGAAAGTGTGATTTGATTTAATGCGTAGTTGAAAAGCTGACCTCCTGAAGGTTAGTAGTTAATGGCCACATTGTACTGCCTGTGCTCATTACCTGCTAACCTTGAGGGGGTCAGAGGTCAACATCCTTGGTTGTCAACCTTTTCTTTACCATCTCAAGGCATAAACAAAAACAAACACCTGTTCTACATGCCTCTTCCTCATAGCCCATGTACATCCTAACTCAGAAGCAGGACCTTCACTGCAGTGAACACTTTGGTGCTCCGGGACTGCAACAGTGAATGCATGAAAACATCTTACCCATCCTAGTCCCGGCAGCTCCCCACCCCCCTCTCCTCCCCGTCAGTCAACATACCAGTAGCTCAAAGCTGTCCATCCGACAGAGGTGAATGATGACAGCAACAGAAGCACCTTTTCATCGCCTCGTACTCTAGAACATTCTGAGATAATTCAATTATTTATATCAAGTTACTGCTGTTACTTAATAACTGCAGCGCTCGTGTGTCGAGCAGCACCCCCACCCTCCACTACCTGGAAAGGAGGCAGAAACACACAGGCGGATGAGATAGAGAGAGGAGGGCCCTAAAACACACCCATCGGAAACAAATGAAACACTTACAAAGCAGTTGAGCATGGAGCAGGACACCCTTACTGCGAGGCTCATGTCGAGGAAAGGCAGGACTGTGCCTGAATGACACGCAGCCTACGGAGGAGCAGCACGACCAGAGCACGAGGAGCCGGCATAACCATTCTTCTCCTGAGCCTCTCCACCCTTCGTTTGCTTCGACCCCCTCTGCCTGCCACCCCGCTTCCCACCCCCCCGCAGCTTTTGCAGGTTTGCCCCTTATCTCGAGGTTTTGTGGGACAACACAGCAGCCCTGGCTCTAAGTCAGGATCCCACCCCACCCCACCCCCCCACCACTCCCAGAAAGGGGTGCACGCTCGTGTCTGAAGACAGCCCCTGTTGCACTGCTGGCAAAAAGGATGATAGTCCATAAAAAAAATTGGAAAAACTGTACAGAGAGGCGCAGCAGTCCAGTGGATCAGCTGAGTTACAAGTGAGACAAAAGCAGAAGAGTGGAAATGACTGCAGATGTGCCCAGCGATGTGGATGAGGGGAAACTGTGAGAAGAGAAAACAGGAGAGAAAGGAAGACGGAGGGAACTGCCTGATGCTAAGCTCCACCCTCTGCATGCGCATCTACCTCCCTCCCTCCCTCTCTCACATTCGCATGCTTGCATTTCTCCCCATCTCCTTCTCATCTCTTCCTCCTCCCCCCACCTCCTCCTTGTTCACCCTTCACCGACATCCCTTCAGAAATATGCTTCTCCCTCAGCAACAAGGTGGTAAAGCCTCGAGTGCATCGCTGACCACCAGAAGATGCTCCGATTGCCACTGACTGCAGTACGCTGTGGCTCAAACACACACAGTTTACTGATAGCTGTATGCGCAAAAAATGCCCCCAAAAAAGGAATGCACAACCTGAAGCCAACAGAGAGACAGAACGCATCCCACTGTTGGGACAGTATCCCACCACAAAACGGTCACACTAGCAGCTACTGATGTAGCGCAGAAGGCAAATACGTGGCAGAGAACAGAGGGAGGGAGGGCAACAAGAAGAGACGGTGGATGCAGAGATTGCTGGTGACACAGCATTTTACAGACATTCTTCCCCACTTCCGAGTGTCATTGTCACATTATCCTGAAACAATTTTAGATACTATAAATCCTGCACGTCACTGTATCATATCAAGGAAGGACACTGATTGCACATATACTTCTAGGCGAGACATAGCTCTTCCTCCCTCTTACCCCAACCTCCTTCCTGTTAGAGTCGTGACAGCCACTCACCTACAGCTGTATGACCCCACATTACGTAACGCAGTACATGCAGCATAAGCTAAACACAGCACTATTAAATAGGATTAATTTCACCAGCAAAAGGTGTTGCCTCATTTTAACAGGATGAATTTCCACATCCGGGTAAATGTTTATTGCCCTTAAGTGCAATTTGTGTAAAGAAACCATCAACACAAGTGTATTAAGTGAACTGCTTCAGCTGACAGTGTACAGCTGGTGCAGAGACATAAGTCTTATTCACTGGCTTTACAAAGGAAGTTAAATCAATGCTGAAACCGTGGATCATGGGGTCCACACATTTACATATGCCTGGATATTGGATGGATATAACTGAAACTAGGAAGCCGGTTGTAATGCAGTGTGCTAGTAGCTACAATATGATCAGGAAGTCTGTATTTTAACAGGGAGGTATCCCTAATATTGTTACATTTGCACCCATGCAGTTCTAACCCATTTATAAACACAGAAGGCCATTTTCACAGGCAGCTTCATAAAACTATAGATGCAATCCTGTATACACTGTGTGTACATATATAGAATATGTACTTTAAATTTGTTTACTTTCTGCCTTGAGAACATAATTTTGATAACAGTGGATTGCGTCCTAATATCAGTGAGAGAATGCAGCCTGAAATGCATCTGCAGCAAATACATGTGAAGCCCAGTAATTGGTGTTAATGTCCTTGGCTCTGGGTCATTGCATGGTCAACATTTCTCGTGCTTAAGCACCACTTAATGTTAGATTTTGATTATCTCTCTACCAAGAGAACAACATAGTTCTAGGCTTTTGAAAGCAGAGAGTAAAGTATGCTGTCTGCAACGGTTAGTGGCGAGAACTTGAACCTCAGAGGCAGAAGTAGGGCTTACAACTGCCATGCTGACACCTGCTAAGTTTTGAATTGTTCTAAGCGTTACCATTTGGAATCCTTTTATCCAAATGTGAACACTGAGGAGAAGCTTCTCCTAAGGATGCTTGCGTCTCCTTCCAGCAGACAGAACTCAGCTGTTTATGAGGCATGAATACATATTTCAGGAATATAATGACTGACATGGACTTAAGCTGATGAACATTCAGGATTCATTCAGGATTCAGAAGACTTTATTTATCCCCAAGGGGCAATTAAGAGACTGACCTTCCCGATCGTGCATACAATACACAAACATCACATTGGGGAGACAGGTCAGGCTAGGTAACTGGACGGTCAGCCGCACGAGCAGCGGCCTGGAACCTAACAACAATGGAAAATGCACAACATGAGGAAAGTCGAGGAGAAAAGAAGAACTCCCCCCAGACTGCGTTCCAACAGGGAGTGAGTGTAGGTCTGTGTCAGTGTACATGCGTATATGTGCGTGTGTGTGTTCCGTGTTCAACCGAGAGAAAGTGTCCCTTCACCCGGTTAAGCAAAAGTCAACAATCTTCGGTAGACGCGGGTGACCTTGAATGAGGAGGGAGAGAGTCATAACAAACAGTCTTATTATCTAGGGAGAATTTTTATTCCCATCAGCTTTTGCCTTGAGCATCCAGGGGGGTGACATGAGATGAAGATGGTAGTTGTTTTGGTTAGTGCGAACAAACTGCTTCCAATTTGGTCTAATGTCCGTCACTGGTCACCAGGTCTCTCAATTCCCGTTGTTCTTCTTCAAGATGTTATCCATATTGCGTTAAAAAAAACAAAAAAAAAAAAAAAACAACAACAGTCTGAGCACTCACAGCCCTGCCCATCGTCTATCATGTTGGGCAGCCTTGTGGGATTTTGAACAGCTGTAGCCACTTCTTATTCTTTGATAAGCCAGGTCTGAGCCAGCTCCAATCAGCCAGAACTCTGTTACCGTAGTTCAGAATTGGTAGATGTCGTTCAAAGTCCTCCATCGAGAGTGTTGCCAGACGCACGACGCAACCGACCATCGAGTATCTGGCAGCAAATGTCTCCGTAGGACAATCGGGCTCTCCCAAGCCCAGGAGGGTGTCAATTCCGTTAAGGGACCAGTTGATCAAATCCATAATTCTTCTTTATGTTTCTAGAGAACAAGTCTGGGAGACTCTCTTAGGGTTAGAGAATAAGTGAGACTATACAAAAGACATGAGAAGCCAAGCAGGAAAGATAAGGGAGAAGGAGAAAGTGCGACCGCTTCCGTCAAGAGCCAAGGGGGAGAGGTCCAACATGATATTGGAATTAATGCCTAAGGTGATTTCACAGACTTTGACAATGTAGAAACAAGACATTCCCACTTGGATTTCAATCATATTTCCCCCTGCACATCAAACAGTTTGGCTTCTTCTGCAAGTCTTTTATAGGAAGAAGATCTCAATGTCCACGACACTGTTTATGCAACAATAGACAAGCTGCCCAAGGTTACATATTAAATCGATCAATGCAGTAGATTATTCTAGGTTATTCTGTTCTATATAGGTCTATAAGATTTATCTAATGTAATGTATACAGTCTGTAGAGACCATGAGAAAGGAAGCAGAGAAGAAGGGATGCAATCTACTTGTGTGCAGAATGGTTTCCATTTCATCACGTTAATGGGAGCATGCATCTGCTGCTATAAGATCCACCTCCATAAATTAAACAAAACCTTACCGAGAACTATTTGCATGTCACGGTTTGAAACTGTGGCCCATTACATTTATTTTCCACCAGTGGAATGAAGAAGTGAAATACAACATTACAGCTAAGCCCAAACAGGTGCACCTCTCACTGTAGCTTTATCACACATTCATGGCTTTGGAGAAGAAGGTGGTACACTCTAGGAGCTACACCAAGTTTTCTGATGTCTGCTTAGCAACTCAGTCTAAAGCGATTTCTTTCCTTTGGCAAAATCCCAATAATTAAGACTTCTCAAGTCTAGGGATGGGTATTGATAAGATTTTCACGATTCCGATTCAGTTTTCGATTCTGTTTAACAATTCGATTCTTTATCGATTCTCTTATCGATTCTTTTTTCTTTTTTTTTTAAAAAAGGAGAACACTTGACACTTGAACAAGATAGAAATTTAGGAGTAACATGGCCTTACAAACCCAACAGTGAGATCCACAGGCTACGGCTCTTCAATGGGGTGTCACAGGGTCCCCGGGAAAAAAAAAAAAGTAAATGTAAAATAATAAAATAAATATTCTTCTGTAGCAATAACAAAGTATAACATAAATTATTCTGTAGCAATTACACAAGAATATCCAGTAATGTCCCTGCCTACAAGCCGCTTAGGTACCATCTTTCTTGCCAGGTAAATGACGCTCCGTAACGTGGTGACGTCATTCGGGCGACTGGAGTCGATAGGGGAATCGTTTGCAAAAATGGCAAACAATTCCAAAGAATTGAAACAGCGGGAACCGGTTCTCAACAAGAACCCGGTTTCGATACCCATCCCTACTCAAGTCCCAAATAAGTTTGATACCTCATTACCCCTGAGAGAGTGTAGGGGGCTTTTCCTTTATGAGCTTAGCTGAACTTTAAAGATCTCCAGCTACTCTGACTCATCATTAAATCTTATATTAGAACTGTAGCATGTACATCTTTGAAAATGTATTTATTTAAAACCTGGTTATTTTTTGACTGGCAATATCTAAATGAAAAAAAAAAAAGCATATACAACCAAGAGTTTTGAATCATCAGTTCACTGAGCAGGTTGTGAAGCTCTTTTTAGTTCATTTATGGCCATTAAAAAAATAAATGTATTTAGGATCACTACTGACAAATGTATCATTAACTGGTCCAGAGTCCAAATACTGAGCTATAAATTCTCTCCCTCTGCTTGTCCAGTACTGGCTGAACCAGCCGTAGAAGTGAGCACAAGATTTGGGCTCCTCTGTTTCAGGTTGTATTTTAGGAAAGGAGGTCAGCCAGTAACCAATGCAGGGTGTCAGCCTACATGTTGACACACAGGTATAGAAGCAGGATATGAAAAAGACACGAAGCATTGGGAAGGAGGGCCAAATGAAGCTAAATTTTCAGAAATTGAGTATTTCTGTAAATACATGTATGTGTTTGGATGCCTTTCATAGATGTAACCAAAGTACTTGAAATTTAAGTAACAAGTAATTTTTAAGTAGTGAAGCAGTAACAAGAAGGTATGGGGGTTTGGTGTACAGTTAGTGTTTGGAAGTGTGACTTCAGTCTGGACAAGTATTTAGCTTAATATGATCCATTACAAACATTAAAATAATTCATCAGGCATATAAATGTAGGCCATACATTTCACTGACATTTGTCACTAGAGTAACGTCTGACTGGCTGCCAGGCAACATCTTAAATAAGATTGAGCTAAGCAGGCTCTGACGGGAAGTGTTGCGGACACACACACACACGCAAAGCTTTGAACAAAAAATAAAGTTAACAATTATCTGAATGGAATGAAAAGTAGGAATGAGGAACCGGAGACAGCCAGCCAGAATGATTTAACCCAACCAAGATTAGGTTTGAGGCAAAGGTGCCTTTAAGTAGGGCTGCACTCAAATCATTAACAGCCCTCGCTTTAACTACAACCCTAAGTGAGAGCATCATGTGGCTTTCCATAGTGCTGCCACATTAACTTTGCCTTCCAATTGTGCACAAACCTTATATAGTAGCACTACGATGCACGCAGTGTAGGCAGAGTAAAAACAATCCTGCTATACCCGTTTCCGTGCTCCCATTATCTTGCTAACAATGCAATAGCATGAGTGGACAACAACATGAGCTCAATATTTCCCATTTTGTTTCAGTGGATGGAAAAAAAGCAAGCTCAAGGCTGGGAAGCAATTAAGCACTGCTTCACATAGAGGATTAAAAACGATCATATTACCTGAGGAACAACCGTCTCACAATCCCACCTGAGAATATAACCCTTAGCTCAAAAAGGTAATGATACTCCCATCTGTCATCCTAACTGTGGCCACTGGGCAACTTAAAAAGGTCCTATTAATGTAACATGCACAGTAACGATTACAATTTCATATTTGATCGAACACTACCATCATGTACACATCTCTAAATCACAGTTGTACTTCAAATACTGCTTAGGCTGATCTGAAACATTCTAGGGTGTGATCATGCCACCTGATAAGTTTGAGCCTTTGATTACTCATGCAGCGCATACCTCTGACCACACCCAAACCAAGAAGAGGTTAGCTTTCCTATAAATGCATAAACACTCTTCAACCCTAGACAGCGAAGCTCTGCATCCTCATTTTATGCTCCTGTGGGCACATTGTTTGTTCATCAGCTATGCCATCAATTAAGCCCAGGGCTCCCATAAAAAGGCTGGGAGTTGGGCATCCAGCCACAGTGACATTCTGTGGACCCATTTGACCAGAACCTTGGGATATGTATCCTCCTGTTACACTTCCTATGTCTGTCCCATAAAAGTGGTTCCCATTAGTTTCAAGAGGAATTTGTCACTCATTTGGTTGCTGCTTCCGCTCTTTTAAAGCACCATTTACTCTGAAGCCCATTCACTGCCCGACAAGGTACAAGCAGACGGCCCATCAGGTGACTAAGGGTGTCCTAAATTACTCTCTATGATG